GTAACCTAGCTAACGGGATTCAAAGAGTAATTTCCTGGATGTCGTCTTGGCGGTTATCGCCCAATCTGTCTAAAACTAAAATAATGATCTTTCCTTCTCAGCCCGATGTTCCGCCCCTCCTCCATCCCACTTTCCCCCAGCCTATAGACATAGTCTCCAGCCATAAGCATCTTGGCATTTTCATTGACTCTAATCTTTCATGGGAGCCCCACATCGATTACATATGTGAACGATCAAGTTCATCTTTAGGAATTCTCTCTTCTCACTGTTACCATCTCCCAATCTCTTGTAAACTCCTCTTTTACTCAGCTTACGTACGCCCCATTTTTGATTATGCAGATACTGCTTGGGCTGGAATTTCCACAACCCGTGCTGCTAAGCTCAAAATTCAACACAAAAAAGTTCTCAAAATCCTCCTCCGAAAACCCCGCATGCTTCCATCTTCCACCCTTTATGCCCTTGCTGACACTTCCCCTTTGTCTAAGAGACGTAATTCACATCTTGTCACCCTTATCCATTCTCTCAAACTCAATCTGTGTCCACCTCACCTCCACTGTTTGAACTGGTTCTCTTCTCGTAGCACGAGAAACTCCCTTTCCCTTCCGAAACCCAAGTCCTCCTTTCTACTTCACTCTCCCTTTTTTTATTGCGTACTCTGCGTGGCTGGCACTTCCCCAAGAAGCTAAGGACCTTTCTTACCTCCGCCTTTTTAAGAGCCTTGTCGCGCCTTGATTTTGATTTTGTGTTTCTTATTTGGTTGCAATCACTGCTTATCCACGCCGGTTCCTTTGTCTTCTCCTCCCCTTCTCCCTGCCTTGCCGTGGTTGGCTAACGCCCTCTCTCTTTGTATTGGCCGGTGTTCTCGCTGTGCTATGAGATGCTGTAATAAATATATGAATAAATAAATAAATACAAAGAAAACGAACTGAAAATACGAGAGAGCTTGGAAGCTCAGGGCCCTACGCTATGCTTTTATGCTTTTTTGCCTAGCTCATCGTACATGTTTTAAGAACTGATGGAAATGTCTTTTTCCGTTGATTGGCCACATCACTGTATTGCAAAAACGTTTCCACATTTCACGTCAAATTTGAAATCGATCGGTATTTTTGCTCTCACATGCATCCATTGCTCAATCATGCATCATTTGCCCATAATTATGACAAACTTTGGCCTGCGATTTACTTTGGCCGGTTGGTACCAAGCGGCGAAATCAGCGAAATTAAATCGCCAGCGAAAATGAGTTGATTTTAATACAGTAATCGGATTTTCTGGCCTTTTTGTAGTAACACATGTACATTGACCTGTTGAGCCAATGACGACGCCGAATGCATGGTTGCCTGTGGAGCACATTACATAACTTTACAGTCTCCTAAAATACGTATCCTGTCCGACGGCAAAAGAGGCTGCAGATTTAGTTTTTCTGCGCGTCGACGGGATGATTGCGACGCGAAAGTTCAGCTCGCGTTATTTGGCTCGCGCGTCGAAAAATCAACGCGAGTGACCTGCTGCTCACGTCGAAAGTTGGACATTACATAACTTTACAGTCTCCTTAAATACGTATCCTGTCCGACGCCAAAGGAAGCTGCAGATTTAGTTTTTCTGCGCGTCGACGGGATGTCTGTCCTGACGTTTACTGGGACCGGCGCTGACTCTGCCGATCACGGGCGTTCTGGACTCGACAGGATGTCTGTCCTGACGTTTCCTGGGACCGGCTTAGACTCTGCCGATCACGGGCGTTCTGTACTCAACGAGATGTCTGTCCTGATGTTGCCTGGGACCGGCGGACTCTGCCGATCACGGGCATTCTGGAGTCGACGGGATCTCTCTTCCGACGTTTCCTGTGACCGGCGCTGAATCGCTCGTTCACGCTTATTTTGGAGACGACGGGATCTCTCTTCCAAAGTATGTTTATGCTGACGCATCCTATCACCTATTCGGCGTCTATTCTAATTTAATTTCCTCCTCGTCTCCCTATTTCTTTCCAAATCTCCATCTACATCAGGGAGTCGTATACATAATACGACGAATATTGGTACGGTACGGGACAGATACAGGAGCCCGCAAATATTGTGGACAGCTGTAATGTACAATCCTGTAGAGCCTTTGTAGTCACAGATACGGGACAGATACGGGACAGATACGGGATAGCTCCAGCCGTGACACAAACAAACAAACAAACAAACAAACACCAAACGAGAGAGCTTGGAAGCTCAGGGCCCTGCGCTATGCTTTGTTGCCTAGCTCATCGCGCATGTTGTTAGAACTGATGGAAATGCTTTTTCCTTTGATTAGCTACATCATTGTATTGCAAAAATGTTTCAATGAGATACTGAAGTACAAGTAACGTCTTCTGCATAGCTATGGGACCGGCGCTGACTCTGCCGATCACGGGCGTTCTTCTTCTTCTTCTTATTATTATACTGACGGCAACTAACATCCATTCTGATCGCATTTACTCGTCTCCCTACTTCGTATTTCTTTCCAGAAAATCTCCCCATACAGCAGGGAGTCGTTTACATAATATGACTCCCTGCTATACATCTACATAATTATTATGCTATCGGCCTACATGCGATTCCCGGGCTGGTCGACAGGCGGCCCATCCAGCCTGCTAGTGGGATCTCGGCCTCGCACACAAATCCACACAAAATTTAATGGTACTGCACTGAATGCATTCCCCCCATACACTTCGCATATATACTCATTCTCTTGATGGTACCGTACTCTTGATGGTACGGGACAGGTACGGGATAGCGCCAGGCATGTCGATGGCACAAACAAACAAAAATATTGTGGCCAGCTGTCTTTGCTGGTACGGTACAGTACGGGACAGATACGGGATAGCGCCAGGCGTGACACAAACAAACAAACACACAAACACCAAACGAGAGAGCTTGGAAGCTCAGGGCCCTGCGCTATGCTTTTTTGCCTTGATGACCTAGACAAAAAAAAGCATAGGGATGTTTTCTTTAAAAAAATCCTTTTTTTTATACCTGGGATTCGAACCCGCACTATCGCGCGCCCTGCATGCAGCCCCCGATACACTTCGCATACATACTAATTCTTCCAAGTTGTTTCACATCGTGATCTTGCATTTGAAAGCCCTATTTGAATATGCATTGTGGCCAGCCATCTTTGATGGCACGGTACGGTAGGGAATAGGTACGGGACAGGTACGATCGAGGGTAATACGACACCGTCTAGCTGCCCGCAATATTCAAATAGGGCTTTCAAACGCAAGATTAACGTGAAGCAACTTGGAAGAATGGGTATGAATGCGAAGTGTATGGGGGAATGCATGTAGGGCGATAGTGCGGGTTCGAATCCCAGGATATGCCTGAAAAAAAGGAGAATTGAAAAATTTATAACATCCTATGCTTTTTTGCCGTCAGATACGGATGGCGCCAGGCGTGACACAAACAAACAAACAAACAAACAAACAAACACACAAACAAACAAATACCAAATTAAAGCTGTGTGGACCCTGGCTAGCGCCAGACGTTACTGAAGTAACGTCTTCTGCATAGCTACGGGAATTAAAGCTGTGTGGACCCTGGCTAGCGCCAGACGTTACTGAAGTAACGTCTTCTGCATAGCTACGGGAATTAAAGCTGTGTGGACCCTGGCTAGCGCCAGACGTTACTGAAGTAACGTCTTCTGCATAGCTACGGGAACAAAAGTAAATGAAACACCATTACCAAAGAATCTGTACTGTATCATGTACACCGTTTATGGCACCAGGGCACATTCAGCAGCCGCCAGCACCGCCGAACCAGACAGATGTCGAGGCGGGTTCCAACGGTGACCACGTAGACTGGCAACCATTGCCCGAACAAGGCAAAAGGAGATCTTCGCCCGTACAAAAGCCATCATAGCCGTGAAAGGCTCACGACGCTTTTCACACAGCTTGCTGGCAATCCCGGCGAAGAGGGCCGAAGCAGCTTTCCCCTGGCCGCCAGTGGTTGCAAAAACCACGGGAACAAACGAGGAATGCTCCACCTCCAGGACTTGCCGTTCATACTTACGTCTCTTCTCCTGCTCATGCTTTCTGTAGACAGACGGGAGAGTAAGGTTTCGGTTGGAGGGGACAAAAAGGTTAAACACCCGAACATCAAACATTGTCCTCTCTAACCTACTCCCATACACTCCACGTGCTGCCACATCAAGACGAGCATGAGCCTCCGTGTTCGCCGACCGGATCCGGAGAGGGAATGTTTCACCAGAGAGGGGCTCCACGCTGACGTCATGCGCAACCTCACGCAACAGATTAGCGGTTAGATCCCGGAGCTCGGTGTGGCGCATCCCAGTGAATCCTCCGATGGCACATGATAGGGCATGGGTGGTGTAGAGGGCTTTCCACAGGTGCAGTGAGACGGCAACCGGGGAGGGGTCCAGCCGTAGCGCAGACATAGGGCATCCCGGAAGCCAGCCTTGTGGATGGTAAACTGGAACCGGCGAGATGGCCGACTAGTGAGCCAACTGGAGGCACCTTTCTCTGCGGCTAGATCCAGAGTCCGCCTGTAGTCGTCACTCAGGGTATCCCTGAGGGAGGAGAGGGCCATTGCCTGATCTTGGCGATTAGCTGTGCGTTGGGCCGCCTTGGCTGCCTTGGTGGCAGCAACAACTGCCTCGATGGATTCCTCCTGTCGAAGGAGCTGCTCGACTAGAGGTCTGGTGACAGACGTAGACGTGTCGTACTGCTGGGAAAGGGTCCCTGGGTTTAGAATTCCCAAACTACCATGACGACACGGAAGCGCCAGGATCGCACGTTCTTCCTCGCCGGGGGCCTGGCGACCAGTCAATGCAGGGAGGAAAACTTGGCTGATGGAGTTTTCCAGCGGTGTCAGGAGGTCCGCGATGGCTGGCATTGTCCTCGCAAGAAATGACCACTTATGGCGGAGACCATGGGTAAGGACAGCGTAAGCAGCCTGAGGTTGAGACGCCGCATGTTTGGCGAGGGTCTGCAGCTCTGTGCACCTTGTGTCAACCTTCTGGGACACTTAACCGTCGCAGAACAGGGCAGAGCCTAGGGCAGCACCAAGATGACGATAGCCGTCCGTCCGGATGTTAACCCCGGTTGTGGCAAACAATTCTGTTGCTAGTGCAAGATGTTGTGGCTTCACGAGGAGAACGGACTTTGACGGGTTGATGTCGTAACCATACCTGGTGCCTCGATCTATTAGGATGGACCACCAGGTGCGCATTCGTCGGAGAGCGCCGGCTGAAGTTGCGTCATCGGCATACCAGGACTGCATGGCCCCAGCTGCGGCGGCTTCCGGGATCAGTGGCACTGTGCCAAACGCATACATTGGCATAGCCAATGGGTCTCCTTGAGTGGTGCCCTCAGAAGACAGGATCACCTCTCCTCCAACATACAGGTGAGCTGGGGAGCGGTAGGTGTTGATAACAGCTGGCGCGAGGTCAGGACATAGCCGCTGAACATTGCGCAGGCAAACAGCTCTATTTAGGTGATTGAATGCGTTCGTTGCATCCGCGAACAGGACTCCCTCCGTGTGGTCATCATCGAAGGTGGTCTTCACCGCATGAATGGCGGCTTCCACGCCGCACTCTTGCCCACCGCATAACTGCAGACAGCCAACAGCACTCTCTACTGCCGAGCCAACAATCTGAAGTATGGCTTTGCCCAGAATGCGGCGGACGACTTCCCCGATCCCGAAAGGGCGAACACCTGGCTGCTTGTCCAAAGGCACTAGACGGCAAGCCACATAAGCTTCCAGTGAGATAGGGTCCACATACTTGGTAGCTATACGCCTGGCACAGGTAACCAGAGCATCGCAGAGTGCATCCGAGGCTGCGCGGAAGGAGGTGCAAATCTATCGCCAATTGGCTGCGTCCATGCCTGAAGGCCCGGCTGCACCATGCGTGCGCAGCACAGCTTGGCGAATAACATCCCTATTGAGTGCCGTGAAGATGACCGGATGTGGTTGGGGCAGAGGCTCTCCGTCCATAACTGCGTCTTCGTTTAGAGGTGATGCTGCTGGATGCTTCTCTCGAAGAATCTCTCGAACTGTGTGGTCACCTATGACATTGTCTTTCCATGCATGACCAAGGCGGCAAACCTCCTTGCTTCACTGTCGTCTTTTGCACGCTCTTCCCTGCTGAATTTGTTTGTAGCCTCTCGGATCTGTTGTTGGATTGTACGAGCTTCAGTCATCAACTCATCCATATCTCCAGTATCCCAGCTCGACAGTCTGCGTTGGAGGCAATCAGCATGCTCTCGGCTGTCTACCATACGATAATATTTATTATGGTTGTTGAAGCAGCACCTGTGTAGCCACAATCGCTACCTTGATGGACACACCCTCGCCTGCCGCTGCATCACCAAAGCACTGGTATAGACGAGCTATGATGTTAAAAGGAAACTGAACGCCAAAAATAAGTATGGCTTATCCGAAGGAGAATTGGGCACTGATTCCGATGAGCTATGTCTCGAGCCGATCTGAGAAGAGGAACCGTGTCAAATTTCATAAATAACACCTTCCATATTTGGAAATTGGGCTTGATGACGTGCGTACTGCTTAGCTGTCACCATGCTGCTCAGCAGTGTAATTGAATGGTAGATGCACAGCATGGTGACAGCTAAGGGCGCGCTCACACTGCGACCATGAGCACGCGTCGATGCGTCAGCAAAACGCAGAAACGTGGCAGTCGTGCTCACACTAGGCCTCGTACACACGTAGACGTGAAGTTGTCACACAAACTTTACGAATTGCAGTTCGTATCCAAAAGAGTTTGTGCGTTTCCTAATAAAGTTGTGGCCCGTTTTGGATGTAATTTTTCGCATGTTGCATGTTGGAGGAAGTGCCTCGTGGCTCGTATTCTTGAAGTCGACGAAAATAATTCATACAATCAGGTAGGTTTTTGACTCTTGAGGGACTGCCGCTGACAGCCAAGCGCTTTCGTTTTCCTGACCTCGTGTTCAGAGCAAGTGCCAGTGCAGTGGAAATTGCGGTAGTGGTTTCTTTCGTCTGTTGCCGAGATGAGAACTGTATTTTCCGATGATATGTAACTGAAATGTCTTGAGAGAAGTTGAGGTATGGCATTCCATCATCGCAGAAAAGTAGAGAAAGATGATTTCCCAAACCGAAAAGCCAGACCAAGCTGCCATCGTATTGAACGAGTACACTGTAGAAATATTAATTGGTCACCAGTACTGGTCACTGACCTGATCACAACGAAGCAACTTCAAAAACAAATACAAAATTGACATCGTCCAAAAAGGGCAAAGAATGCATATATGGCGGTGCGTGCGTGCAGGACCACAACTACAAAATTTTAAAAATGTGCAAATGTCGAGGATGACATCGACAACCGCCGAGTTTCATGAATCAACACACCGGAATTTGAGAAATTGAACATACTTCAGGCCAGGTTGTACACAAATACGCTTCACGTCTACGATCATGTTGCCGCCAAGTCGTGGCACCCCCCTCCGGAGGTCGCGGTCACGATTTGAAACGTGGCCGCCACGTTTTGGTCAAGTTCATGCCGTTGCCATGCAACTTGGCCGCATGGCCGCATGGACGCTTGTTTTGGTCGCAGTGTGAGCGCGCCCTAAGCAGTACACACGTTATCAAGCCCAATTTCCAAATATGGAAGGTGTTATTATGAAATTTGACACGGTTCCTCTTCTCTGATCGGCTCGAGACATAGCTCATCGGAATCAGAAAAATGATTTATGTATACAAAAATGCATGTACGAAGTCACTACATTACACCCCCACCAGAGATGAAGCCGAGAGCAGTTGCTGAAGAACGCCAAACGGAAAAAAAGATCTTGGAAAGGAAAGGAAAGAGTGAGTGAAGCGTACAAAGCGGAAAGACGGGAAAGAAAAATACACTGTACAAAGAGAAAGACTGTACAAAGAGAAAAAATATGCGCTGCAAGTGGAATACCGTTGTATGACGCGTGGACACAAGGTCCGAAACAAGGTAGAAAATGCAGGAAAGGGAAAGAGGAAACATGCGTGACAGAGGTGGAAGAACGTGGCAGAGGCAGGCCAGAGAAAGAAAGTAGAGAAAAGAACAAGGGAAAACGTACGCGTGACAGAGGAGGACGGATCTTGATCTTGTCAGAGGCGGCTGCGGGCTAGGAGATCGTGGCGGTTGATCGGCGGATCGGTGGATCGGCGGACCGGCGGATGGTGGGCTGGTGAGGTCGTGGGCTTGGGCACCTGCTCAATCTGGGCCGCGGAGGTCGAAGGCGCGATGGCCTGCTCCATGCCATCCATACAGCAACTCCGACTCAGCGCAGTGTCAGGGGTCACCAATTATGGTGTTTTACGTCAACCATGACGGCTACAATGGCCAACCAGACCACAACGAAGTTGGGGCCAAAGAGAAAGTTTATTTCTTTCACGAGAAAATATATACAGGGGCCATTTTTACGAAAAATGATTTATGTATACAAAAATGCATGTACGAAGTCACTACAAGCTACTTGGCTGTCCGTGACTGTGCCGTGGGTCACCTGATCCTGTACGTGAAGGAGCTCAGCCGAGTCAGCACTAGGCCCAGACAGATCCTGCCCGCAATTCTTTTGGCAAAATATCGAAGAATTGGAAGAGCGGAAATTGCCGGCAAAATCGGAGCAAAATATCGAGATGTTGGGTAAAATCGATGCTTGATACTTGGATTTCCTTGTTTCTTACCCGTTCAGCAGGATACACTGCCCAGGACGAGATTATGTCACCAAAATATCTCTGGGATTCACTGTGGATCGACTTGATTTTGGAAGAACTCAGGGATACGTGCGTTGAAACGCGTGTTGAGAAACCGACCCTGCGATTTTTTATCAAACGTTGTACGGGACTGTACGGGAAGTGGATATAATACACGTTTTTCCGGAGCAAAATGGAGCAACATATCGAGTTTCTTGTGCCAGACTCGGCAAATATCGAAGATTTCGCAGCAATATTTTGCCGCAAAATATCGAGGCGACCGGCCGGAGCAGAATCTGTCTGGGCCTAGTCAGCACTGGAGTTAGCAGGGTCTTGTACGGGGGTGCGGTGCCCCGCTAAAGTAGATCTACCTGAGAGGCTGGCTGTCTACGGTTGGAGAGCAGGCGACGGTGGGTTACTACCAGGGAGTAGTAAAATACATGTGTCACGAACGGACATAAACGAGGGAAAATAAGGGGGTCTAAAATACTATTACTACTGCACTCCAGGGCAGTTCAACGGTGGCTGTGATCACAGTCCCTCGTCTCCGTCGTGAGAACATCAAAAACTCATCATATCAAGTGCTATTATCGAAAACACTGTAACGAGAAGAAGGTCTAACCAGACACAACTTCCATACCAAAAAACCAGAAAACTAGACCAAGAAGAAAAACTGTTCTCCGCTCTAAAAACACGGTAACGATTATGACGTAAGGCGTCCAAAAGAAGCGAGAGTTTGAACTCCCGTTTGAACTTACAACAGATATGGCTGTAACTAAGTGTATTAAAGAGATAGTAGGGGTCAAAGCATGCATACGCGAAATGTGTACAATAATGCACGACGTGGGAAAAGTGGGAAATAGTAAGTTCATGACTGCGCAGTCATGACACTCCCGAGGAACAAAAGAAACAAACTATTTTACTGTGGCATTGAATATTAAAAGACAATGGAATAGATACTGTCTACATACATACATACGTAGAAACAAAGGTGAAAGCTACAGACACCAGCTCAGCCTGCATTTGTGCATTGAGCCTTTCCTTTGCCTTCTGGGCGGCCATGCGCTGAGGCCTGCTGCTAGCAACATCAGTGCTGCCGTTGTCGATGACATCAGTGTTCTCCTTCTCCTCCGTTGCGTTCACTTCTAGCGGGTAGAGGTGGTTGATCGGTCGGTTCAGGATGGAGTTGGTCGTCTGTACTGTCGCCGAACGAGTCTTGCCGTCCTGCGCGCCGTCATGCAGTTCTCTGATTCTTCCCATCTTCCACATTCCACGTGGTAGCTGGTCGTTCTTGATCATGACCATGTCGCCGATCTTGGGACCAGTGGTTCGGCTCCTCCTGAGACGATTGTTGATTGGCTGTCGGCTGCGAAGTGCAAGGATATAGTCATCTCTCCACAACTTCCAGAACGTGTCCAGTGCAGCTTGCTGCTTCTTCTGCAGTGACGTAATAGTAGCGACTGGATCTCGTTGGGGCATGTAGTCATCTGACTGGATATCGTCAGGAAGTCCCAGTGAGCGAGTTGGGGCAATGAAGTGGTTTGGCGTGATGATTCCATCTGTCGACTCTGACGGTACATACGTCAATGGGCGTGTGTTGAGCATTGCCTCAACTTCCGTTGTGATTGTGTTGAACTGCTCGTAGGTGAATCGACTGCGGCCAATGGCTTTGTGGAAAGCTCGCTTCACCAGACCAACTAGTCGCTCATAGAAACCGCCTTGCCACGGTGCAAACTCAGTGGTGAAAACCCAGGTTACCTTGTGTTCTGCAAGGTAGCAGGCCAGCTCAGGGCAGGTTAGGATATTTTTCCACTTCTGATCGAGGTACGTCTGTGCCAACTTGAACTGTGGCGCATTGTCTGAGATGATCTTGTCAGGTCGTCCTCGCCTGGCAATGAATCGTTTCAAACAGTTGACGAACTGGGCCGTTGTTAATCCCATCACTACTTCCAAATGAACCGCACGGGTTGCCATACAGGTGAAGAGGCACACCCATACCTTCTGTGTTGTACTGCTGATGTTGACGCTGAATGGGCCGAGATAGTCGAGGCCGATGTACTGAAATGGATGAGACTGCTGTACTCGTTCTGCTGGTAGCTGTGGCATCTGGGGTAGACGGAACGGTTGCCCTTCGTGTTTCTGACAAATGACACATTTACTCAGAACGGCTTTCACAGCTGCTCGCCCTTGTGGAAGCCAGTACTTCTGTCGAATCTGGGCAAGTGTGTGAGACACTCCAGCATGAATGAGACGCGCATGAACTTCCCGGATGATCAGAGTACTTAGCTTACTGTGTCGGGATATCAGCATAGGGCGAGTCGCATCTTCAGGTAGCTGAGCATTGTCTAGCCTTCCATGGCATCTTAGCAGTCCTTCAGCATCCAGGCGAAGTCCGAGCTGGTCTTGAAGGGGGTGACGAGTACCGCTGTCTATAGCTTTGAACGCATCCGTGAAGTTCTGTCGTTGGTGTTGTCTGATGATGATCTTCTCTGCGATGCTGAGATCACTGGCTGCTACGTACTTGGTGCGTGAAGCATCATCAAAGACCATTGCTGCGAGGGGAATCTTTGGCCGTAGCTTCTCTCGTGTGCTGCTACTGAACTTGCTCCAGATCTTTTTGCCAATGAAACGGAGGCAGATTGCTGTAGTCCTCAAGAGCGATCTGAGGGATGAAACACGTTGTTCTGCTGCCTGAAGCGAATACGTTTCTGTGCTGTCGTTGATGACGGCAGCTGTGTTCCCAATTGTAATGAGAGGGGAGCGTCTCTCTTTGTCTGCTTCTGCAATGTCTTCTTGCGTGACGATCAGTTTTCCTGTTGGCCAGTCCTCTTTGTCTCCTGCTAGCCATGCAGGACCCTGCCACCAGAGAGAAGACTCCTTCAACTCCTCTGGCTGAAGACCGCGTGTTGCTATGTCTGCAGGGTTGTCCTGGGACTGAACGTGACGAAACTGTAGCTGCTGATTGGATTTCACTTCCTTCACACGATTGGCAACAAATGTTGAGAGATGATGGGGCGTTGTGAGCCAGTGGAGAACACACGTGGCATCAGTCCAGAGGTATGCTGGGATGTTGTTCTGAAGTTGAAGCTGGGATTGGATGAACTTGACCATCCTGAATCCGATGACCACGCCGAGCAGTTCCATACGATGAATGGTGACTGATTGCTTCTTGGACGGTTTGTTGGCTGACGGGGTCAGTCGGGATCTGGAGAAGATGAGATTCACCGTGTACTTGTTGGAATCCGGAATCTGCACTTGGAGGTAAGCTGCTGCTGCATATGCATCCTTGGATGCATCTGTGAAGATCTGTAGACTCATCGGTTGACTTGCACTCGCAGGACCAATGAACCTTGGAATGGTGACGGTCGTCGTCTGCCGGAGTGCTGATTGGATGTTGTCCCACTCCAGGAGCATTGGTGCGGACAATGGGGCATCCCACTCCAGACCTTCCTCCCATAGCCGACGAAGGTACCGCTTCCCTTGCAGTGTAGATGGTGTCATCAATCCGAGTGGGTCAAACACGCTTGCCACTTTGTTCAGCACGCTGCGCTTTGTGACTGGACCGACTGATTTCTCATTGATGCTGTTGGACACGGCGATGTTATCTGCTTTGTTATCCCACTTGAGCCCAAGGACTTTGGTAGATGCTGATGGCAATCGGTCGATTTCCTGAATCTTGTCCAACACTTTGTCGGAGTTGGAGGTCCAGTCCCGTAGATTCATGGATGCATCTGAGAACAGCTGCTTGGCTTCCTTGTAGAGATGATTACCTTCTTCTGGGGAGTAGACCGTGGTTATTAGGTTGTCCACATACAGATCACGTGCAATAGCACCAGACACATCGGTCTGGGCCTGTGTGAGGTGCAGCTGAATGGTAGCAGCGAGCAGAAATGGGCTCGAGACTACACCGAACGGCACTCGACAGAAACGGTACGCTGTGACATTGCCGTTAACCTTCTCAGGTGTGGTACAGTCCTTGTACTAGATGAATCGGGTGACGTCCCTGTCACTTGGCTGAATAGAAATTTGAAGAAATGCTTTCTCTACGTCAGCGCTAATCACAATTGGCTTGAGACGGAAACGCATTAGCAGGCCGCAGAGGTCAGGGAGTAGCACTGGGCCACGGTAGAGGCAGTCGTTCAGGCTTGGAGATGTTGCACTCGCTTTGGCTGATGCATCATACACTATCCTGACCTTTGTTGACTTCGCTGGTGTCACAACGGGGTGGTGTGGCAAATAGTGTTGTTTACCACTGGTTCCGGAAAGTTGAACTTCTTCAATGATTCCCTTAGCGAGCTGCTGTCGGATCACCTTGTCATAACTCTCGAGCAGCTGTCCGTCTGTAGCGAGTCGTTTGGCCAGTGATTTCATTCGGCCAAGGGCTAAGCCGTAGTTGCTAGGAAGTTGATCTTTGGTGTCATCAGGCTTCCATGGCCATTGGATGGAATACCTGCCATCGGAATATTCCGTTGTCTTGCGAAATTGCGCCAGTGCGATTTCGTCATCATTCGCGTAGGGTGAATCCTTGATTCCGATATTCTCCAGTTGCCAGAATTGAGACAGTACATTGTCCTCTGTGTTACGGTTGGAGACGCTTGCAGCTCCTGAGAAAATCGAACCGCTGCTGGTAACCACCAGGGAGGTCGTGTCATCATTGCTGCATTCATCCGGTAGTGAACTGCAGCCGGTGAGCAGGTATCCAAATTCGGAGGAGACTAGCTTGAGTCCTGATGGCAGTGTGATAACATTATTGCCCACCAGTTGCCAAAAGTAGTCAGCACCAATTAGAAAGTCGATGTTGACAGTTTCCATTGCGTGAGGCACAGAATCTGCTAGCGCTGTTGGAGACAGCTGTTCAAGAAACGCCAAGTCGGTCTGTTGCACGGCTTGTTTCACAATTGGGTTGGTTATGGTAGGCAGAGTATTCACCATTATCTGTGCCATGTTACCGTCTCGGAGGTTGACAGCGAGTTGGAACGATTGCGAATTGAAGCTCTTGGACTTAGTTGCTGCCATGGTGTTCAGGTAGAGCCTCTCTTCATTCTCGACTGGTAGCTGGAGTCGTTTAGCTAGAGCTGCAGTGATGAACGATCGTTGGCTGCCACTGTCCAGTAGTGCGTTGACCATGACCTTCTTCCCACAATGGTCAGTCACGTTACACTTAGCGGTTTGCAGCATGGCTGACTGAATAACTGCTTTCAGTGTTGAGACGCTCGTGGTGGCTAGTTCCGTGGTTTCATCTGGAATTGCCGCCGGCTCTTGGCTTGGCATCTCTGCCGGTGACAAAGCTGCGATTGCTGCTGTCTGTGGACTGCCATTGGCCAGTGAATTTGTTTGCTGGTGTTTCGGAACTTCGACTGCTGGATTATATTGTTGACCCTTCTTGGGACAAATAGCACGACTGTGGCCTGTTCCGCTACAGTGGTAGCAATTTCTACTACGGTGTGCACAATTCCTTGCGATATGGCCTTCTTTGAGGCACGCAAAGCACCTACGTAGGGACAACAGTTGATCCTTCCTGGAATCCAGTGTTGAGTAGTTGGTACACTCATCACTGAAATGGCTTGACCGACAGAAGACGCAGGACGGTTCTCTTCTGGGGCTTGCCTGGCTGGATACAAATCCCATTGTTGGTGGACGATGGTGTTGTTGCTGGTGTCCCTGTATCTTAGGCTGAGGTGTCTGGCTGATGTTGTCGGTGAACTGACGAACTGTGTTCTGCATTGCTACATACTTCGCTAGCATCTCCCGTACTGTTTTGACCGTCCATGGCACAGTATGGTCGGATCTCTGCTCCTCCAGTTTGCTGACGAGCTGGAACGGGAACTTCGAGAAGAGTTGCTGAATGAGGACGCGCTGAGTATCCAGGTTCTCTCCCTGAGCTTCCAATTGACGAAGGAGTTTCTCCATTTGGTCAATGGTAGCCTTCACTTCAGTAAACCTGTTGTTACATTGTGGCAGCTGTGCCAGTTTACGATACAGTGTTGCCACTATCAGCTCAGGCTGTCCAAATTTGTCCTTCAGCATCGTAACTGCGATAGGATAGTTAGCTGCTGTTATTGGAATGCCTTCGATGGCTGCTGCGGCGACACCCGTCAGGACGCTTTTGAGGTACGTGAATTTTGATACGTCCGGCAACGATTGACGAAGACCAACAGAGGACTCAAATGTCTGCCAGAATTCTGGCCAGTCCATGATGTCTCCATTGAACTGAGACAGTTTCAGCTGAGGAAGTTTCACCACTGGACTGGAGCATGCAGCTTGCATGGCTGCTACTGCTGCCTGTGCCGCCACCTCAATGGTGGACAGACCCATAGCCATGGTCAATGGTGGACAGCGTTGTTGGTGTACTGTGGATACTGACACTTGACGATGCTCGTCGGATGCCATCTACACTGATCATAGCTGGAGACTCGTTCTGGTCTCTAGAATCTTCTTCCAGCTGCACTGCTGTTTGTTGATGCGCCTCCTCGTCAACTACTGGTATGTCCTCAGTGGCACTGGCACTATTGGTGGTGGCATCCACTGAAGTCACTGAGGCTTTCTGGTGCTGTTGCTGAGCAGCCAGAATGGCAGATTGGGACTGACGCTTCAATTTCTCCTCTTCAAATACGACTTGGTCGACAGCTATCTGGGCATCTTCAAAAATGCGCCAAGACACATTAAATTCACGCTCCCACTCCTCTTCTTCGTCGTGTAGACTACATCTTTCTAAGTCGTCCAGAACATTGAAAATCTCATCCTGGGTGAGTAGTATTTCTCGTTTCAACTGTACAGCATCGTCAATCTGGGGCTGAAGCCTCTTTGGATCGATCCATACTTTCACATAGCTTTCTGTTGTTTTTTTCCAAAATGTACGCAGTACATGCACCGATGCGCTCGTATCTTGGCATGCACCGGCGTCGACGCTTCTGCGCGTCCTTGATGGCCTGCAGGCCTTTCTTCTGGGAGTCATCTTCCTGACAAGTTGTGGCTGTAGCACAACCTTCAGTGGCTAGTACGATTAGAGTCTTCACTTGACATCATATCCTATCCTGGTCACAGCACCATGTCACGAACGGACATAAACGAGGGAAAATAAGGGGGTCTAAAATACTATTACTACTGCACTCCAGGGCAGTTCAACGGTGGCTGTGATCACAGTCCCTCGTCTCCGTCGTGAGAACATCAAAAACTCATCATATCAAGTGCTATTATCGAAAACACTGTAACGAGAAGAAGGTCTAACCAGACACAACTTCCATACCAAAAAACCAGAAAACTAGACCAAGAAGAAAAACTGTTCTCCGCTCTAAAAACACGGTAACGATTATGACGTAAGGCGTCCAAAAGGAGCGAGAGTTTGAACTCCCGTTTGAACTTACAACAGATATGGCTGTAACTAAGTGTAAGAGATAGTAGGGGTCAAAGCATGCATACGCGAAATGTGTACAATAATGCACGACGTGGGAAAAGTGGGAAATAGTAAGTTCATGACTGCGCAGTCATGACAACATGTATGTAAACGAGAGAGCTTGGAAGCTCAGGGCCCTACGCTATGCTTTTATGCCTTTTTGCCTAGCTCATCGTACATGTTATAAGAACTGATGGAAATGTCTTTTTCCGTTGATTGGCCACATCACTGTATTGCAAAAACGTTTCAATCGGTTTCAATATTATGAGTTAGGCAAAAGTATTTGCAGAATTTATTGCGGATTGTTATTTCTCTGATAATCATCTACTTTTGGTTTGTTCCTTCTTTTCTTTTTATCTCCTTATACTGTAAATCAACAAATTTTGGCCGATGAGAAATAGAAACCTCTCTATTAGAGAGGTTAAGATGCACGTTATTTCCGACGTGACGCGCAATTTCACGTCAAATTTGAAACCGATCGGTATTTTTGCTCTCTCATGCATCATTTGCCTATATGACAAACTTTGGCCTGCGATTTACTTTGGCCGGTTGGTACCAAGCGGCGAAATCAGCGAAATTAAATCGCCAGCGAAAATTAGTTGATTTTATTACAGTAATCGGATTTTCTGGCCTTTTTGTAGTAATACATGTACATTGACCTGTTGAGCCAATGACTTCGCCGAATGCTTGGTTGCCTGTGGAGCACATTACATAACTTTACAGCCTCCTATAATACGTATCCTGTCCGACGGCAAATAAGGCTGCAGATTTAGTTTTTCTGCGCGTCGACGGGATGTCTGCGACGCGAAAGTTCAGCTCGCGTTATTTGGCTCGCACGTCGAAAAATCAATGCGAGTGACCTACTGTTTACGTCGAAATTTGGACATTACATAACTTTACAGTCTCCTATAATACGTATCCTGTCCGACGGCAAAAGAGGGTGCAGATTTAGTTTTTCGGCACGTCGACGGGATGTCTGTCCTGATGTTTACTGGGACCGGCGCTGACTCTGCCGATCACGGGCGTTCTGGACTCAACGGGATGTCTGTCCTGACGTTGCCTGGGACCGACGGACTCTGCCGATCACGGGCGTTCTGGAGTGGACGGGATCTCTCTTCCGACGTTTCCTGTGACCGGCGCTGAATCGCTCGTTCACGCTTATTTTGGAGACGACGGGATCTCTCTTCCAAAGTATGTTTATGCTGACGCATCCTATCACCTATTCGGCGTCTATTCTAATTAATTTCCTCCTCGTCTCCCTATTTCTTTCCAAATCTCCCTCTACATTAGGGAGTCGTATACATAATAAAGCACCACGCAAACATTTCCCTTACCGCTATCGTCATGTCCCCTCTCACTGCTGGGACTCTCTTAATTCCGATCTCTCTCATTGTGACTGGTCATTTCTACGCCCAGGCAATTCCCCAACTGTTGACGACGCAGTCGATCGATTTTCAATCGTCCTGGAACAAACCTTCCAGCACCACCTCGCTGATTTTTCCACCCATTCTTGTCGGTCAAACACACGCACATCGTCTGTGACATCCAATCCACCCTGGGTGTCGACTGTCCTCGTATCTGCGGTGAAACGTAAACGAGACCTCTTCAGTGTCAGCCGAAAATTTCCAACACCTGTCAATATGGAGGCCTACCGAGTTCAACGCAACTTTGTCAAATACCTATCCCGTAAAACCTACCGCTCTTACATCAGCTCCCTCTCTGCAACAATCTCATCACCCAATCGTCCTTCTCTCTATCAGTTCATTCGCACCCAGCGTCCCAGTGTCTCTCGCGCCCCAATCCAGTGCTTGATTGATCCTGATGGCAACCGTCAGTCTGAGGCAAAGTCCATTGCGGACACTCTGAACAAACAGTTTGTCTCTCCCGGCCTTCCCGACGATCCGAACTGGGTTATCCCGCCCCTGCACCCAGCTCCAGAGCTGCGCGCTCCACTTCTGGAGGTCTTTACAACAACTGGTGTGGTCCGGAAACAACTGAAACGTCTTAAGAGCTGCAAGTCTCCTGGAAAAGACGGTATTCCAAATGAAGTCCTTAAACTGCTGGTGCCTTCCTTGTCGTATCCCCTGTGCTTGCTCTTCAACTTGTCATCTCGTGCAGGAGTCTTCCCATCTGCGTGGAAATCTGCTATTGTTGTCCCGATCTTTAAGAAAGGACAACGCTCCCAAGCTGTTAATTACAGGCCCATCTCCCTCCTACCAACTATATCCAAGGTCTGTGAACGCATCTTCTATGAATCTCTCTACCACCATGTCACCCCTGCCCTCTCCTCTGCACAATCCGGCTTCTGTCGTGGCGACTCAACTACTTTGCAATTGACACGCTTAATCCAGGATATTTACGGACATCGTAACCTGAAGAAGCATGTAGGTCTTGTCTTTTTTGATCTGTCAAAAGCGTTTGATACAGTCTGGCATCGAGGCCTACTTGCAAAGCTTGAGTACATTTTTCTAGTACGTGGTACAGCTCTGCAGTGGCTGTCGTCATATTTGTCGTCCCGTCATCAAACTGTCCGTGTCTCTGCTTCCTTGTCCGATCCTTTACCTGTAGTGTCTGGTGTTCCACAGGGGTCCATACTGGGTCCACTCCTTTTCCTAACTTATGTGAACGATCTGCCCTCTCTAGTTCCAGACGTCAGCCTTTTTGCTGATGATACTGCACTGTTGTGCTCTGACAGCTCGCCGTCCAACCTCGTTACCTCCATGCAGACCGGCATTAACTCCACCATAGCATGGATGGAAGCTTGGAAGCTGAGGCCCAACATCGCGAAGACCGAAGCAATGTTCATCAGCCCATCGCCGCCTACTCAGCCGTTGCACTTTCCAGGAGCCAATGCTAACGTTAAAATTGTTCATGAACACAAACACCTTGGTGTTATATTCGACAGCCATATGTCCTGGTCCCCACAGGTCCAGTCAGTATGCAAGCGAGCTAGCTCCTCCCTTGGCATGTTGCAACCTCACTGCCACCATTTAAATGACCATTGCCGAAAATTGTTCTTTACGTCGTATATTCTACCTATATTTGATTACTTTGACACAGCGTGGTGCGGTCTGTCTCAGGCCCTTGTTCAAACTCTGGAAATACACCAGCGTCTGCTTCTAAAAATCCTGTTTCGCAAAAATCAAACATTCTCCTCCCAACGTCTCCACAGTTTAGCTTCAGTATCTCCCCTCTTAGAGCGACACCAGCAACATCTTTGCATCCTTGTACACATGATCTTATTAGACCTGGCTCCAAAACACTTTGCTAAGTATAACTGGTTTGTGTCCACCAGATCAACACGTCATTCCTTCTCATTACCCCGTGCTAATACCTCCCTGTTTCTGAAATCTCCTATCTTCTCTGCGTACACTCTCTGGTCTTCCCTGCCAACTAGCCTTAAAGCATGCACAGACATTAAGGAGTTCAAGCTTCAGCTTCTTCGTCCTAAATAATCTCACCATTTTCGTCATGCCTCCCCTTGCAGTACTCTCTTTGTTTCTCTCCTTATTATAGTCCTTATGCACATTGTACAGATGTACGAAGTTCTGTACAATGGCCGTAGGTGTGTACATACCCGGTTGGGTGTTCATTGTGTGCTATACATGCGCGTTTGACCCATTTAGCCTCACAATTCATGGCAAACGATCACTTTTGAAGCCTTCTTCACTTTGGGATTGAACTAACGACTAACTAGATCTCTGCCGGAAAAATATTTCGTATGAAATGCTTTCATGGCCCATTTCATAGTGGAAATAGCAGTAAGCACAATAGGGTCCTGCACATTCAACACCCAACCGGGTCTACGGGATTCTACAAGATTATACGGGATTTCGTGCATCTGTACAATGTGCATAAGGCCTATTCAGTTCGCCGTGGTTGGCTACCACCCGACTTCTCATATATATTGGCAGTCTTCTGACGAGCC